TCGTGGAGCTTCAGTTCTTGTAGTGATGACTTGCCTACTGTCCTGGGATGTCCCTGAACCCCAGTCTGAGTTGCAGGCCCCATCATCTGCTTTCCTGGACATTTGCAGTTTTCCTGTCTAGGACTCCCCATCTCTGAGCTTTGCCCATAAATGAGGACTCCCTGGCTGCTCCCTACTGGACTGTGACCTTCTCTTGCACAGCTTGCTCTGCAGGCCACACAGTCCTCCTGACCCTCAGATCTCCTTCTTCCCAGGTGGGCTTGCTGTCAGTGACTGGCCATGGCTGGTAGAATCCTCAGCTACAAGAAGAAGTCTCTGTAAGGGCTTCTGGTCTCCCCTTGCTGAGGAGCACACATCCCCTCTTAAAATAATATATGTTCATTGCCTGGTGGGGGGTGAGCATCCATCCAGGGCTGGGGCTCCATATATCCAGGTGATTGGACATCCACTAATTTCTGTATCCCAGTTTTCAACGTGGCCCCAGCTGGACGGGTAAGGAGGATGGAGACTTTCAGATCTTTCCACTGAGCACAGAGAACTGAGGAAAGTAGATGGGAAACCAAAACCTTTGGGCTGTCTTTTGGGCTGTCCATCTCCTGAACAGCAGATAGACATTCATAATCTCTGTGCCTTATTTTAGGATCTCCTTGGAAGTGCACAGGTCCCACTTGACTTTGAATATTTCATTGCTATAAATATGCAGCTCTTCTCAGTTCTGTGTGGGAAGGGGTCACAGAGCAAAGTATTGGCCCAATCCAGTTTGTAATTGGCACTGTTATGGTTGGCGATATAATATCTTGGTCCTGATTCCCAGTGCAGTGGCTTTCCTGACAGCCCTGTCATAAGGCTGCTGTTTCCCTGCAGTTAAACCCACAGAGGCTCAACAAGCTCTGTTGGTAACAGGAGCACCGGCTCTTACAGTAACATTGAAATCCCAAGGAAGCCAAACACATCCTTATAAGCTGGCTGCACGAACGTTACCTTCCCTATTAATTATATAAATAGAGCCTGAGTCCTGGCTGCTTTTAATTTCCCTCTTTCCTAAGGACTAAGTTTGTCACGAGTGGAGAAAACCACTCCATAGATTTGACCTTGTTGATTTGGTGGCCAGGAGCTGTCAGAACTTATTCAGTTGGGAATAATGAATGGGCTCATGGAAGTTTTTTTTTTTTCTCCTTCTTTCTTTCTTTCTTTCTTTCTTTCTTTCTTTCTTTCTTTCTTTCTTTCTTTCTTTCTTTCTTTCTTTCTTTCTTTCTTTCTTTCTTTCTTCTCTTTCTTTTCTTTTCTTTTCTTTCTTTTCTTTCTTTCTTTTTTTACAAGTGTTGTCATTTCTGGCCAAGATTCACCCATCAAATCAAAGGCCATAGTCAATGGTGTGGCCCTGGCAGTTCTGATGGCACGAACTGCTGGCTGCTCCCTAACGGGCATCCTTGGCTAATGTTTTGGAATTCTCAGATGGAGAAGTGATGAACCAGAGTTCATTTTCATGGCTATGCTGTCATATCATGGCTGTGCTGGTTGATGGCAGGGAGCCGATGACAGGGCGTGTCAGAGTAGACCTACAATAGCAGAGTGGACGGCAGCCAGCAGGTGGCCACAGAGGGGTGCTTAAGCTGATACTTACTGTGCCTGTGCAGTGGACAAGCTCAAAGTGGGCCTCGGGCCCCTTGCCCTTGCTGCTGCCCTTGGGCTTCAGGAACCTGCTGGACTTGCCCAAGTGGTTGTCATACAGGGTTGTCTTGAACGTGGCGTCCATGACTTTGGGGATGACGCACTGTTCCTCCAAGATGGAGAAGATGCCCATGGGCTAGGAGGGAGGACAGCAAGATGGTGTTACAGGAGGCATCAGGACCCAAAAAAGGTGATACTGGCATTGGGTCTGGGGATGGTGGTAGAGATGCATGTGGCTGGCTGGGAAGCAGAACTCTGGGCAACAACATCTGGGAACAGCGCTTGGTACTCCAAGGTCTTCAAATGGCCATTTAGACTTGAAAGAGGCTAGAATTTGAGTCAAACAGAAGGGAAGACTGAGGTCTGAAGGAGCCAGATAGATCCCCAAACGCTAATCCCACCTAAACAGTGGCCCCGGGCAAGACTGGTCTTCAGAAGAACAGCGAAGTCAATGACCTGTCCTCTCTGCTTTCAATTCTGTTTCATCTGCTCCTCCTCGCTGACCTTTCTGGCCACCCAGGGGCCTCATGCTGTTCTAGGTCTCTTCCCACACACAAAAAGGGGCAGTCACGAATGCTCTTAGTGACTTAATATGCCCCCTATCTATGGTGGGCCTGGATTTTAAATGAAGACTTCTGGAAGAGGGCAATACTTAACCCCAAAGCTCAAGAAT